GATAGATAGATAGATAGATAGATAGATAGATAGATAGATAGATAGATTCTCACTTGTCCTTATTAGGTTTTCCCCTTTGATGCATTTGTTTTCTTCACAAGCTGAGCAGAGGCTGTTAGAGCACAGGAAACCAGAGCGACAAGAACAGGTGCCCTTTGTGGTTTTTGTACACTTCTTACCATAACCTGTAGAGAGGTACAATAAATGAAGAGAAATTCCAACCACAACATGTCCATCTTTATTCTTTGAGATGATCAAGCTGAGTGTTACCTTGTTGGCATGTCTGGCATGGCTCACAGCGGTCGAAGATGTTGTATTTATCCGAGTAGGACCCCTCTGTGCAGGGGCTGCAGATAGTTTGACCTTTCTCAGAACAAAACTTCCCCATGAAAGTACCTTTCAAATAAAAAACACAAATAGCATCCGTTTAAGTCTAAACTTAACACAAACATACAAAGAAAATCAAAATATTTCAGACATATAATGTTCACATTTGAATAAACAGCAGATTAATACAAAGCACTAATTATTATTTTTAACAAGTGAATATTATTAAGTGCTTACCTGGTGGGCACATGTTGCAACACCGTTGATCTATCATTATCTGTGAAGCACCACAGCTTGTAGTTTGTGCCACAGTCCAGGAACTCAGAAGACACACAAAGAAGAATGCCACCGAGACGCCGAGTTGAGTCATGGTGATCAGTGTCTTGACACGTGTCTCTTGGTTTTTATATTGGCTTTTCTCTGACGTCAGTGACTTTGGTTTTCACAGTAAACTCCGTGCAGGAAATGAAAGACCACTTGTGACTACAAGATTCAGAGAAACAAGAAAACGGTTTGAGATGAGTTACATATTGAGTTGGTTATTATTTTGTTTACTTGAATTTAACATGAATCTGTTATGTTGGACTTACAATATTACAAACAACAATTAATAATTAATAATAATCAATAATAATGTTGTGCATGTTAGGTTAAGCATTTAGAAGTTTCCATTTATTGCACATGAACCATATTTTAAATGAATAAGTTCTAATATGTTGGACATTTTAACTTAGTTTTTATTATAGTGGGCACTTTTTGCATAAAACTCATTGCCTGGATAAAATATAAACAAGTCATTCATCCATTTTTGTTACCTGCTTTGTCATTTTTGGTTCATGGGGGCTGGTGCTGATCTCCAGCGGTCATATTGTTCGAGAGGCGGCGTACAACCTGGACAGGTAACAAGTCAATCAAAGGGCCCCATGAAGACAGACAACCATTCCCACTTAATGACAAATTAGAGTTGTCACCTAACCTAAAATGCATGTGTATGGACTGTAGGACAAAACTGGAGCACCCAGAGAAACATGCATGCACAAAGAGAGTATGCAAACTCCACTCAGAATGGCCCGAACCAGGTTGGTTGTGAAACTGTGACCTTCTGGCTGTGAAGAGACTGTTCTAACCACAGCTTCATATTGCTGCCCACCTTAAGGCTATGATAATTTTTCATGAGTATTTTTTAAGCACTTTTGTTGAACTTTGTTTAATTCAAAAGTCATGAAACTGGTCTACTCTGGTTTGTAGATCACTAAGATTTTTAAAATGCCTTTTTGTGGCAATAAAGTGCAAGTCTGTGGGAACTAAGGGCGCTGAATGTGCTGCAGTACCCTCTGAAAGAAGGCACATCTTCTGCATGTCCGAGCCAAGGAGTCATAAAACAAATAAAAGGAATATTAACTGGGGCTAGGTACCACCAAGAGTGGAGGGCATAATGGCTACCTCTAAAATTATGGTAATCTCCTCCACTGCCCACCTTTACCAGACATGTTTTCTTTTCTTGAGTACCACTCTGTTGCTTAGTGCATTTTTTTTTATTTCCCCTAGCTATTTAGGATTAATAGCAACATATACACATAAAAAGATTCATTTATTTTTGAGCAGCTAGGTGTTAAAATAAAAATATATGTTTCATTTAAAATAAAAACTAACTTAAAATTTATAGTTCCTCTGAATATGAACACAGTCTAAAACCAGCATCCTCAACATTAGGATACAAAGTCTTAGGAGGTTCGGTGCCTATAATCTTTATATAAATACAAATTTAGCTTTTTTTTGTATTTTTATTCCCAGTCTTGGACATTTATAATAACATATTTTTGTTCACAAAAGTTCACAGCAACAAGCAAATCAAATGTTTTTTATTATTTTATTTTTTTATATAATTAGGTGATGGTTTTAAACTTGAGAAAGTTGGTTTCTAGTAAATGCTTTGTTCAATGTGTCCCTTTAAATTAAACACAAGCATTTTACTTTTTTAGGGAAAAAGACAAAAAGCCAAATTTGACTAAAGCCAAAAAGGACATTCCATTCATATGTAAAGACACATAGCACATTAAAACTGGACCACTGAGGAACTCCAAATGGTTTGTGAACATCATATAATCATAAATCTCACCTGCAAAATAAGAAACTCAGGTCCACTTAATGGCAATTCCTTAACTTGCATTCTGTCAAATTTTTAAAATTGCCATTTTACAACAACAACATGATAGAATTTCTGGGGAAAAAAAAGGCTATTGATTTTGGTGTGCCACCCATGGATTAACAGGGGCCCCTACATGGCCATCTCATTAAAACATTTCTGTGGGCACACGAAAACAAGTTCTTACAGTTATGATAAGGTTCAAGTGGGATAAAATCTCTGCAACCCAAGCATCTTTCTTTGGTGGAGGCTATGTTGTTCAGAACTGCCAGTACAAACCATAGATTTACTGTTAAGATTCACAGTTTTGCAGAAAACAAGAAAGAGGTTTCTATACTTTTTGCATCAACTACGAATGCGTGTGCACTTGTGCATTGGTGCATGGAAAATATGTACAGTAGTTAATGTCAAGCAAGGAAAAATAAAAACTAATATAAGAATAATTGTAATGTTTTGATCAGGTTTAATTTTAGATTCTAGTAACCCCAATGAAAGAAATGTTTTAAAAACATAAAGAAGCTTCTTGCAACCATCAGAATAATTCACCTTTATGCACCATTTTAAAGGCAACAGTTTGAACAGACTCAGTTTGAAGAATCAGTAGAAAATTTTAAAGAAAAATCAAACTATTGGCTAATCAGTGGACGACCTCTATTCCAGAGTAAATATTTGCTATGTAAAACTACTCAAACCTCAAAAATGTATTTGTCTTTCAAGTGAATGCTCTGCTGTAAACTTTCATAATCAGACCCTTTTGTAAACAAGTCCATGTTGGAACAGAGTTTGTGGTCTAATACGTCTTGTCTGAAACACAAACTCAAAGCATAACATGTTAAGCATACAGTACCCGGTCCTCTTAACTTCCATCCATCCATTCATTATCTTTTACCCACTTCTCCTATCCAGGTCACAGAGGTCGCTGGTGCCTATGTACAGCAGTCACTGTGTTGGAGGCGGGTACACTCTCAACAGGTCGCAAGTCCATCTCAGGGCCACAAAGAGACAAACGAAACAAACAACCATTTACTCTCTCACTCACACCATGTAGAGTTACCAATGAACCTAACATGCATGTTTTTGGTCTGTGGGAAGGCACCAGAGTACCCAGAGAAACCCATGTCTGCATGGACTAAACATTTAAACTCCACCTGGAAAGGTCCCAGGCCGGGATGCATTCCTGTGACTTTCTCGCTGCTAGGCAGCAGCTCTACTACGCCGCAGCTCTACTACGACGCTGTACCACAGTCTTGGGAACTCTCTGATGTTAAAGAAATCTGGGTAAAAATCTATTGTTCACTTGAACTGCTAGAAAGTTTTGATATTTGCGTTGTTTTACATGGCTGAAATCAGCTTTGTAATTGGCCCTGTCTTAATAGCTGTTAGCGTGACGGATCCATGAAAACTTCTCCCTGACTCTTCCAGCTGAGAGCATTCGGATCTGAACTATAAATTTGGCAGAAAGTCATAAGACTGGGGTATTAGAGGAAGGTATCATGTGGACTGCATGATGGCTAACACTTGTTTCGCAGCAAAACGGACTTCGGTTTGATTCTCATTTGGGGGCTTATTGCACACAACATGCATATGTTTTTTCCAGTTAGTTCAATTTCCTACCACCTTCATAAAGCATGCAAGTTAGGTAAAGTGTGACATTCTAAATAGACTTCAGCAGTGGTGATCTTAGCCTCTTTGTAAGAAAACTCAGCTATCAAACAGATTCACCAAAAATACTGAATAAATTTGGAAAAAATACAGATTAAATGATGACACTTAAACGGGCCAGTAAAATCTGTGATTTTTTTGCCCGAGTCAGATCCTCTATGGCACCTGTCAATCAGTCCAGTGAGCTTATCAGCAGTTGACCAATCAGTGATCTCAATTTGTCCTGAAGTGTCCTTACCTGCAGGAGCTGCACTCCCTTTTCCTTCAACTACATTGTCCGAGTTTTGCATTACGAACGCTTTGCGGTCAAAGGGATTTCATGAAACATCATCAGAAAAAAAATGATAAAACGTTGTCAGTAGGGAACATGTCATTCATACAGCATTACCCTGAATGTTTAAAGGGTGGAATACAGTTTATTTCATTTCCAAAACCTAAACTGAAAAACTGGAAAAATGTAAAAGATGGATAAAGACTGGCAGCTGAATATGACAGTGATAACCAGGAAGAACCACATGTTCATCTGTACGAAGGTAACTGCAGGTAAATCTTCCATTTTTTTTGTCATAATTACATTGTATGCTTAATTGTTAATTTAAAGGTTAATACTGTAGTGAACTAGATGACCTGATGATCTGACCTCATCTGACCCTGATGACCTCAAATCTACCAGATGGACAGAGACTGTTATTTTCATTGATCTGAATAAGTCTGAGCCATCTGATGACTTTCTTTCTTGAATTAATCAAGCAGAAAAGACAATCCTCTATAATCATTACTGTCTTACAAATGTTTTGATAATCAAATTGTGTTAGTTTCACTCAATGCTTACAGGTTGAAAAGAACTACTCATTTTTATTTTACATAAACAGTAAGTAATGATTTTTATTCCTCATTCAAAGAAGAAATCACCTGAATATGCATTTCTTGATTTTCTGTCTGAAATGAGCCAAGTCGTAAGTGTGTGAAAGTTGAAGCTTCGGTCAACTAAATGTTTACTGAAGAAGAAATGTCATGTTTAAACTTTTTCAGAAGATTACCAAGAGTTGGCTCCACGAAGTCTGCTTTTTGCAATAATCTCTCTGTCAGTTGTTAAACAAATTTCATTCCCTGACCTCGACTTTTGATAAACACCTTACGTCAAAACCACTCCTCTTTCTGGTCCATCCACGAATCAGAAAGCTCTAAAGTAAACCCGGAAGTAAACTCATTTAAAATGTGAGAACTTCCCGGTTCTGTTAGAGAGTTGGAATGGTGAGGAGTGCAGTCGGTTCCAAGAGATTCCAGAGTTAGAGTTATGGAGAGTTTTGGAGTTGGAGTCTGAGAAGATCTGAAAGAGTCTGAGGGCTGCTGACAATGAAGAGTCAGAGTTGCCGAGAATCCAGAGACGTTTGGGATTATAATTCTGTTTTGAGCTAACCACGCACGACTCTCCAAGGATTTTAGCTGTTCTCAACGGAGACGCTGATATCAGTCTGAAGGTTCTTACTGAGGTGATCTATCGTCAACAAGGTAACGGTTTCTTCTTCGACTAAAGTGTACCTGGGATAAGCTGAGATACC